ACTCTACTCTCGTTCTGACTTGCAGGGGAACTTAAACGTTTTTGAATTTCCAGTCCTGGTCAAGGCCTGGATAGACCTCTGGGCCTCCAGGCAAGCCTCTAATTGTCCCCCGAAGGACTCATGGATCCAGGCCAGCTGATTACCCCTGAAGGACTCACATGTGCCTCCACCTGACATCCATTACGCAGACCACCAGTGACCAGACCCCTAGCTCCCATCTTCTGGGCCTCCTGACACCTGACTGGTCATTGTCCTGGGCTGATCCTGGGGCTAAGAATTGATAATTCTCAAGAATGTACTTTTTACTACAAGAACTTTTAACTTTTCTTTCTTCTTTGAGACATTTCTGCATTTTTTTGCCTAGCTGTGTTCCCTGTTTGCAAACTCTAAGACCTTTGAATAAATCTTTATCATTTATTTCTAGCAAAGCCTCCAGACTTTTTTGAGTTTGTCTGACAAAGGGCATGTGCGTCCATGACTGCTGTCCACGTGAACAGTGGACTGCTGCCCAGTGGCCATGTCTCCCAGCGCTCTTAGGCTTTCTCGTTTTTGCTAGCCTGAGAGTGGAATGTGGTATCATGAGGGTTTTCATAGTTTTGATTGAAAATTTTCTTATTATGGGCAAAGCAGTGCTTTTTTCTTAGTTAGGAAGCATTTGTATTTTCTTCTGTTAATTCTCTTCTTCTGTGACATGTCCATGTTTCTATTAGGTTGTTGGTCTGTACTTAATGATTTGTGGAAACAACTTATGAATTAAGAAAATATGTCCTTGTCTCTGTTTTATGGTACTTTTTGCCAGACAGTCTTATATAATTAAATTCATCCATCTCTTGTGTAGGTATGTATACAGTTGATGCCCATTATTTGTGGATTCTGTACTTATGAATTCACCTACTAGCTAAAATTTATTTGTGACTCTGTAGTACATAGCTGCTGCACTTTCAAGGTCATTGGTGGACATGCACAGAGCAAGGAAAAATCTGAGTCGCCAACGTGTGCCTGCCCAGCCCGGAGAACAAGGTGAGGCTCACTGCCTCTGGCTCCAGCTCTCAGGCGGTAAACAAGGGTCCTTTTCACAATCTCTTTGCTTCACAGTTTTTGCATCTTTTTGCCCTTTGTTAGTGATTTCACAGTTTAAAATGGTCCCAACTGCAGACCTGAAGCACTGTCCAGTGTTCCTGAGCCCCAGAGAACTGTGATGGGCCTCACAGAGAAAACACACAGACGAGGCTCGTGAAGGCAGGAGTTACAGCCCTCTCTACAGTGAATTCAATGCTAATGAATTAACAATGTATATTAACTAAGTTGTCCTTACATGGAAACATACATAAACAGGTTATGTACTGGGTGGTTGAGGAAAAACCTTGTGGCCAGAGGCTTACAGGTCTCAGACCCTGTGTTCACCCAGGTGCAGGGGTTCGGCTCACAAACCCAGTGTTGCAGTCCCTTTTCAGTCAGCACTTCGTGAGTAACGACTATGTGCAGTAGACCTAGCTTCCAGACTATGCATCTCTCTTTAGAAATAACACCTTTTTGTCTCCCTCCCCCAGGGGCCTTCCTGTGCCCTGGGTGGGCAGTGCCTCCCTGTGCGATGTGGTTATTTTCCAGTGCATGTGTTATGTCATGTGGGCCCTTCTGCAGCCTGAGCGAGTAGGTGCTCCCAGGGGCAGGCACCACAATTCAGACTGAGCCTGCTAGAAAGCCCCGAAGTCAGGCAGGAGAGTTACAGGCCAGGGGACAAAGCCTCTTCTGTTGGCAATGACTCTGAGAGTGAGGCAGCACCTCTGTGGCTCTCCGGGCGCGTTGGGGGAGCTCTTGCTCCCATCGCCAGGCTGCACAGAGCCCACTGAATACAAAGCAGAAACTCTAATGGGAAGAGCCCCAAGCCCCCATCTGGTCAGAACCTGCCCTGGATTGTAGCGTGGGCTCTGGTCCAAGGACCCCTGGCCAAGACCATTGGCTGGATGCCAAGATTTGTGGCTGCCCAGCTCCCCCTGGTTCCTCCATCTGCTTCGTCCACTCAAGCCCACAGGCTCCAGCCTCTCCCGCTGGCTCTGTGTCCTAACGCATCACCAGGACCCCCCGAAGCTCCGCATCCCCCGTGGAAATGAGGATTGGACAGCCCTCCTGAATCAGGGGCCATTTCTCTCTCATGGTGGGTCCTACCAGCAAGAAGGCAGACACTGAGGCAAGAGCTGGCCAGAGCCCAGGACAGGCACCATGCTTCAGTCCTGCTGGGCTGCTGCAACCCTGGGACCTTTCAAAGATTCTCTTAAACCCTTGGGAGGTGGGCACCACTGCTGCCCAGTGACTAATCAGAAACTGAAGTTCAGAAAAAGTAGAAGTAACTAACAGGTCAACGGTCACGGGTAGTGGGCGGCACCAGAAGTAGAAACAGACCTGTGTCTCCAGACACACACTGCTCTCCAATGACCCCTTTTATCTCATTGCCAGTGTCTGTCTGCGCCCTCCCTTTTCCAGAGACGTGGGCAGCTGCCTCTTGCCCAAAGTGCAGAAAAATGCACAAAAGCAGAAGCACTGTGCACAGGAGGAATAAACAGAAGGAAATGCACCAAAATGTTAGAGTGGACGCTTGTCTCTAACTGGTCCCTGCGTCATTATAAAGTTCCATACAGAGCCTGTGTTACTGTGTAGGAGTAACACAGTTTACTGAACCATTTTCCAATTGTTGAACATTTGCATCATTCATGCTTATTATAAATTCAGTGAACATCTGTACGCACCACTGGCTGTACAGCTGGTCACTCCATTGTGTAAATTCTCCAAGAGCGGATTGCTGACGTCAAGGGTGAGAACACTTTTTAGACTCTTGCTCCAACCTTGAATTGCCTTCCAGGAAACCTGTGCTAGTCTGCCCTGGGAACTGTGAAGGCAGCAGGACAAGACAGGGGTGGCGTCATGAGCTGTCAGGGCCAAGAAGAGAACATAGCCCTGAATTCAGGGCCTCGAAGGTGGTGGCTGCCCCCGGAGAGCAGTGGATGGACAAGTTGGGCCTGAGGTCAAACTAGAATTAAGGGAGGGTCCTGGCCCCACGGCCTATTAAGATTGAGCCCCAAAGAGGATAGAGTTTAGAATCAGAGAAGAGAGCTGAAGCTCAGATTGGGCACAGCAAAGAGAACCCATGCTGGCACTTCCAGTAGAGGGTTCCACACCAGGGATAGCTGCCAGGGGCCGCATGCTGTGTGACCACAGCGGGACTGTGTGGGCCCAGACAGCAGCTGGCCCTTGGACTGGGGGCAGAAGGAAGCCTGGAGCATAAAGGGGTGGCCGCTTCAGGTGGCACTTGGGCCCAGTGGGTGGGGGGTGGTTGCTATGCAATCACTACTCTCTTAGAGGGGCGCAGTGTGACCCATGTGGGGTCGCAGGATGCTGGATGCTCTGTGCTCTCTGCACAGTGGGAGCCGGTGGTGACCAGAATCAGGAAAAGACGCTGTCTTCCTACTCGGTCTCCTCCCAGTACCTCCATGGCCACCGCTGACTGCTTGGATGGAGATGTTGCCAGAGCCAGGGCTGGAGGGCACACACCAGCTTGGCCAAGGACCTGTCCCTGGAGTTAATGAAGGCGAGGGGGCAGGGACTGGCCACGGAGGTGTGAAGAAGGTTGGACAGCAGCAGCTCCAGGCTGAGCTGCAGCTCGTGGTGGGCTGTGGGTGAGCTGGCCTATTCACCTCCGGGCCCACTGTCTGCGGGTGTTGAGCTCAGGCGGGTCTGGTGGCCCTTTCTGCTGCTTCTTACCTGATAACAGGGCCTCCTCTAAGACAGTGTGGGGTGAGAAAGAGAATTCCTGCAAAGATGTGGCTCAGTGTGGGGCACACACCGCGCCCCCAGTGGTGCTAGCATCATCATCACCTTCATTTCAGCAGCTCGGCTTACTCGGGGGTCCACACCACCTGCTGGCCTCAGCGACCTGCTCCAATTTTGGAAGCCTAACAGTTTCTCAAGATCCTTGGGCCAAATTCCTGGGGCTTTAAGGAGAGATAAAAACGTGGAAAATGGCCTATGCTTTCTTCTGCTCATCCCCATATTTCATGATCCACGCGGGACCCTTGGGACACATGGCCCTTCTGTTCACAGACCAACTTGAAGCTGGCTTTGGGGTGCTGAAAGGAGACTTGCTCAGCGGGTCTCAGGGGTGAACGCTGGCACCTCCTCCTGCAAGTGCCCCAGAGGTCATGCCCGATTTCCTTACCAAGTCTAGAGGAGACCAAGCAGCAGGGCAGGCCCTGACGTCAGAGATCGTGGGGCCAACGAACGGCTCCGGCTCCTGAGCTGCCTGAGATTGCCCAGGTCTCAAGCATACAGGTGACCTTGGCGCCTGCATGGCAGTTCCCCGCGAGGACCAGGCTGCAGCCCCCACCGCTCAGGCCACTGACCAGGTTGGAACGACCACTGAGTGGTCTTAGTTGTTCTTCCTAAAACTCTTGAGCATAAAATTAAAATAAACCATTTCTAAGAGTTGTGTCCATTAAAAAACCATTCCTGGGGCCTAAAGCTGAGCCTCAGAGCAGGCTGTGGCTGACGATATCCACCCCGCCCAGCAGGGCTGCTTCAGCAGAGGGTGGGAGCTACATCAAACCCTGCACATCCCAGGACCTCTGAGGGCTAAAGCCCTGCTCTCTGGACCAAATAAAACAGGATGTATGATTTTGTATCTGGTGTGAACCTAATTGAGTAAAATTAAATAATAACCATGTGTAAGAGGAAAATGTTTGAATTGCAATTCCCTTATTTGATTGGAGCCTGCTGAGAATCTCCCAAGGGGACAGCTGCCATGGACAGACACATGCCAGCTGCAGGAGGGTGCCCTGGGAGTCACACTTGGATAGCAACACAAGACCACCTAAAAATTTTATTTCCACTTTTTCTGTCTTATAAGTTTTCTACAATGTGGACATGCTTCTAAAAAATCAGTATGTCTATCCATACAGCGACTACTATTCAGCCATAAAAAGAAATGAAGTACTGACACCTGCTGCAACATGGATGAACCTTTCAATCGTGCCGAGTGGAAGGAGCCAGTCGCAAAGGACACGTGCTGCAAGATTCCATTTATGGAAAGTCCAGAAGAGGTGAGTCCATAGGGACAGGAAGGAGATTGCTGGTTGTTTGGGACTGAGAGGGGGGAGTGGAAGTGACTGCGAATGGGGACAGGTTTTTTTTGGAGTGATGAAAATGTTCTGGAATTAGAGAATGGTGGTGGTCAGACAACTCTGTGAAGATACTAAAAACCACTGAATTGTTCACTTTAAAAGAGTGAATTCTATGGAATGTGAATTATGCCTCAATAAAGATGTTATTTTAAAAAATCAACATGCTTTTTAATTTGGGAGTAAAGAAATGTTACATCAGCTTATTAATCATAAAGAAGAATAAAATAAACACTGTGTTATAGAACACTGCGGCCCCACTGGGTGAGGAGCCCCACTCGGTGGGGTCAGAGTAGAAGAGCCCACCGTTTGCCCTCCCAGCCACACATGAGTCCCTTCAGAGGCCCACACAATCCCCAACACTGCACCCTTCCTTTGGGTCCCTGAGAGGCCAACTCTGCCTCACTTCTGTCCTCCCAGGACACTCCTGCCACGTCTCATTCTGCTCTCCTGGTACCATCCCCTTACCGTCACCTGAGCTCCCAGAGGGCATGGGCTCCCTGCTGTCTTGCCTGCCACTGGGGCAGGCTCCACATAGTGGTCCAGTGAGCCAGTGGCCCCTTAATGGTGAGGGGCTGCCTCCCCATGCTGTGGCCTGTGGGAGGGCTCAAGGAGGTGGCCTGAATGCACTTGGTCTCACCACTAGACTGTCCTGGGCTGCCTGAGCTCACTCAGAGGCAGTACCTGGCAACTGGGCTCCCTCGGGCAAGGCCAAACCTCACCCTTCCTACTGGTGAGCCTTCTGGGGCCTGATGTGAGCAGAGGCAGAGGGTGGGTCCTGTCTCCCTCCCTCCCTGTCTCCATGAATGAACTTCTGTTGAACACAGCCGCACCCCAACACTGTTGATCATGACTTTTATGTCTATCTCACAGGCAGCAAACTGATGACATGGTTCTGTTGCCTGCTGGGTTCTGGCCCCAGAAGTGCCCATCTCGCTGACTCAGCTGGGCACCAGGGCAGACTGGACTTGGGGTGACTTGGGACTCCCTGACACTGGAGTCTTAGGTAGCCAAGGGGACTGCTATAAGGGGTGGGTAGGTCACTGTGGCTAGCTCTGTGGCCCTGAGCAAGCTACTTAAAATCAAAGTCTCTGGTCTGGGCCTCAACATACTCATCTGTGACATGGAAAGAATTGACCCACTTGGCCGACAGCCGCTGAGATAGCTGTTTCAGGCAGCAGAGAGAGGTGCTGTCATCACCAGCCTGGGTCAGCCAGTTGGCAGGATGTTTTCTTTTTTTTCCTTTTTTAAAAATATATCTTTATTGATTTCAGAGAGAGGAAAAGAGGGGAGGGGAGAGAGAGAGAAACAGCAATGATGAGAGAGTCATTGATCGACTGCCTAAGCCCGCAACCCGGGCATGTGCCCTGACCGGGAATCAAACCCCGATCTCCTGAATCCTAGGTCGATGCTCAACCTCTGAGCCGCGCCCGGCCGGGCGGCAGCATGTTTTCTATAGGTTTGGCTCATACCAGCTTAAGACAACCAGTAAAGCAGACAGGCAGTGTTTGTTCTCCATGTCAGAGCCAGGGAGATGGAGGCTCAGAGATGTCAAGTGACTTAGCTAAGGACACACAGTGATCCTGGCAAGGTTCTGGTCCCAAGGTCTGTCCAAGGATGCCTCAGGCTTACCCTTCCCAGATCCTAGAACCTGTACCAGAGCCCAGCCCAAGGTTTCTTGCAAAGGGGACTGTGACCTCTCCACTAGCTGCTTAGCTCCAATGGTCATGGGTCAGCAGAGGAGATAAACTCCCTGTCACAGCGGGCATGGAAGCAGGGTGCCTGAAACCATGCCTAAGGGCTGAGAGTACAGTAACAGTCAGAGCAGGTTCTCCCTGCTCTCCCAGGTCTCGAGCGCCCCTGTGACGTGTGAGAGCACTGCTGCCATGCTTGGCACATCTGCCAGCTGGGTGTGGGCAGTGGCCCACAGGCAATGATGTGAATGGCCAGCCACCTCCTCCATAACCAGGCAGGCCAGTGGGGCCCAGTGAGAGCAGAGAGCAGGCCGGACTGGCGTGCATCTGTCTGGAACATGCATAGCTCCAACCCTTCTCAGTTTTCCCTTGGAAAGGCTCAGGCACGCTTGTCACAGGTTTGGGGCTCATGGTGCCCTCAAGGACTTACTGAGTCTTAGAGAAATTGGCAGTCTTCCAAGGGGGAGAAACCAGGATGGTCAGGCCCATTCTTCAGGGGGATACTGAGGCTTGGCAAGGGTGGGACTGGCCCAAGGTCATGCAAATGGCAGGGCAAGGTTGGAGTCTCTAGCCTCCACAGGGAAGACAGTAAGATCTTCACTACCCCACCTCTGCCTGAAAGGCCCCCACTCTGAGGGGCGGATCTGCTCAGGTCCCCACATCAAAGGGTGTCCTCAGGTTGGCAGACCTGGTGCCTGCTGTTGTCCTTTCCTCATGTGGACGCTGAGCTTGGAGCCTGTTCTACAAGTAGATGTGAGGATTGAAGTCTGTATTTAGCAGGTATGTGCCAAATGCCCAGCCCAGTGCCAGCACTCTGTGGAACCATGGCTCTCTGGGAGAGAAGTCTGGTCTGTGGCATCTGCCCATTTCTGTGGTGTAATTTCTCCCAGCGTTGCCAGGTGTTACTGAACAGAACTGGAAGAAGATGCCGGCCCTCACAAGTTGGTCTCTGCTGGCTCCAGCACCCACCAGTGCCCGGCAGGACCTCAGAAAGTCCTATTGCTCTGGTAAGTCAGCTTGGCACCCCCACCCCACTTGAACTGTGAGGGTTTGATGTCCCTTGAGTTCCTTTGTGCCAAGGGCTCCAGGTCCAGCAGCCCACCGGTCGACCACATGTCTGAAAGTTTCTGTGTGCTTGACAGTGCACAGGCCGGGGCTCGGGACCAACGTGAGAGCAGCCTGGCTCTCCCCTGAGCCAGCTGCCTCCCCTGCCTGTTTCCTGCTCTGGGAGTGGGCGGTGACTACACATCGCCGGCTAAGGGGCACAGGGTGGGCGGTGGGAGCTCAGGGCCTTGCATGGTGTAGGGCTGGGAAACTAGCATTGTAGTCTTTGCTCTATGTCATTTCCCTGCGATAAGGTTCAAGACGCTCAAGAGGGAGTCCAGGGGAGAGAGGATGAGGGGGAGATCCGGAAAGATGGGCAGGTGCCATTTAACAGAGGTGGGTGAGGAAGGCACTGTGGGCCAAGGGGCATCTGCCAGGCTCTCCTGCCCCTATCCACCGACATCTCAGTTCAGCCGCTCTTAGGAGCTCTGGGGTTTAGGACAGATCATTTCTGCCTTTGGGGTGTCGGTCTGTTCAATTGCAAAATGGGAATTTTGAGTACAGTGCTTGCCCTCCCGGTAAGGTGGCGAGGCCTGATGGATCCTGAAGTGAGGGAAGGGCCTGCGCCCTCAGCCAGGCTTAGGCCCTGTCGAGGCGGGATGGGGGGCTCAGGCATCCTCCCGAGGTCGCCTGGGGGGGACCGCGGCCTTGGACCTCGGACTTCTAGCGCGCATCCTGCCGGGCGCGGGCCGGTGCGGCGCGCGGTGCG